TTATATTAAAGGCAAGTTACAGTACTCTTTTTATATCTTTTAAAAGATGACCTGACCAAAAAACTAACAGGATTCATAAAATCAGGGATCATTTTACTATTGACTTAACAGTACTCAGTAGTTTTGTATGTAATATTATAATTAATTTTCAACATTTTAGTACTTGTATTTATTTTTTGGTCAGAAATAGTATATTAAAATATTTTTTGATAGTTTATAGATGATACTTGACCTGTAAGTGTTCAAAGGAACAGAATTATTTGTTTCTAATTATTAGTCTAAGCTTTGATTACACAGCTAAGGAAAGGCAGGGAAATGTTTAGATTCTCCTTCCCCAACCCCTATGAATTCCATTAAATGTCATTTAAATTACACATTTTGAACTGTTTTATAAATTCAGTTACCAGTCACTACTTAGTAATTGACAATTTCTGAAAATTCCTGTTTCAGCAGAATTTTAAATGAAGGCGAAAGCAAGCCCTACATGCTTTCTACTTATTTGAATGTTTCTCAAGTATTTTATATTAAAAAAACAGTGCCTCTGTTTTTAGAACTACTGCTCAGTAAAGCTGTTTAAACCATTTCTGGTAGCTAATGACAATTTTATATTAAATTGTATATTAACTTTAGTGAGACTGATTTTTTTAGTTGTTTACAGTACAAATACTTGTATTTGTTTTTTAATTGCAGTATTTCCATTGTCGCAGTAATTTAGTAAAACTCTGTGGCTGCCTTGATTTTTGACAGATTTTTGTTAACAACTGATTTTTAGGCAATTAGTTATATTTATGCATAAATCAATTGCACTATAATTCATGAATTATTTATTACAATATTTTCTAATGAATTCCATGTATTTGTCTTGTGTTGTAAATGTACTGTAATTCTGTTTCTTCTTTGTGTTGTTATATTCCTAAATCTGATTGTATGAATTTAATTGTTTAGTTAACGTGTTTCTACGTTGTAATTTGTAGTAAAGCACTTCAATGCTTTTGCACATAAATTTACAACACTGATGTGTGATTGATTTGCTCATTCAGTAAAAAAAAAAAAAGAAAGAAACAAAAACCTGTACACTGACTCGTTTGACTTACTCCCAAGGCACAAGTTTATTAGTAGTGGCATAAGATCAAGAACTGTACATATTAAGCACATGTTGACTAATTTACTATGAGAATTTTATAAGTCAGAAATAGTAGCTTTAAGGAAGCGTGATTTCTCAGAATTGATGCATTGCTTATAAATGAGAAGAAATTCAGAAAACTGATTTTGTAACAGTTACATCCTTCAGTTTGTAGCTAAAAATGATCTGTTGTATATTACAGATAATATATAGCATTTTGGTGGATTTATTTACTTAGTAAAGCCAGAAAACAAACATTTCTATAAGACAGATTTAGATTTCTGTATCAGTTCTATGCTGCTCATATGAGTACTTGAAAGTATGTTCTGTTCCCAGCCTGTAAAGAAGTTGCTAGATCTATCTTGCTGTGGCTGAGATGACAGAGGATAGGAAATCTTTGGGGTGCCTTCTGATAGAGCTCTTTCCTGGTAGTTTTTTGTGTTTGTGGAGGAGGCAAAGGTTTACTTCTTTATATGTGAAATAATAGCTGAAGGGCTAGTACATAACCTTATCCCATCTTTGCCTTTGTGCAAGTTTTGGACTCCAGTCAGTCCCCACTCGGGGAATTAACTTCCCCTGCCTTTCCAGCCGGGAAAGGATGTCATTCCATGCTTAACTTTTGTCTTCAGAGATACTGTGCATGAAAGGCACTTTGGGCACAGCACATGTTGATCCTCTCCTCTCAAACCCTCCATTTCCTGCGCACTTTCTCTAGTCATATTTTTGTCTGATTTGTAGAAAGCATAAGACTGTTCTGTGAAGGAAGTATGCAATTGTGAAAGTGCTAGCTCTTCCTTCTGTGAAATGATTGCTTAAACCTTTTATCTTGAGGGCTTTAGGACAAATTTAAAAGGCTATAGGCAGGAATTGCAGGAGGAAACTGAAATATAATTCCATATATGTATTGAAAGCTACTAAAAATTAGTTTGTTTAATTATATGGGTATCAGTCAGAGACACACTTTGGAAAAAGTGTGTTATTTCAATGCTTTAGTTTGTTTGCATAGTAAGCTCTGTTCCCAAATGGCAACTGAGTAAGAGGTTGATATCTTTTCACAAACTTGGAAGATCATTTGGAGTGTGGTACTATGACAGTAGAACAGACGAAGTTAAGTTTTCTGTCAGCTTTAGAAACTAACACATGCTAAGGGAAAGCAGATTACAGATGTTATACAAGGGTAGATAACCAGGAAAGAAATCGTACTAGAAAAATGTCCAGTATGTCTGTGGTAACCAGGATATTACTTTAAACAATGGGTTGATCTCCACATAGCAAATTGAAAGCAGTTTTGAGGCCTCTTGAAATTTAGGTAACTGACTTTAGAGGTCTGGAAGTTTCTTCCATCCATGATCAGATTTTAAATAGCAGTTATGAATACAGGTCATCCACAATTAAAGCTCTCCAGTGAAACTTCATTAGACATACCTTGCAAGTCTAGACAGACAGACAGGTATGTGTCTAGAGATTCAGTCTGAAAAGAGTGTACTACAGCCATCTTTCTAGCAAATTAGTACTTAACAAATTTACTGTGATTTACAAACAAAATAGTGAAGACCTAGTGTTGTGTTCTTTTTTTTTCTATCTAGCCTTTCAATACTTTATTTAATTAAAGTCATGGTGGTGGGGAGGACAATTAGTTTTCACCTGTACTTGTATTACTAGAAAAAGCTCTGTATTCACAGGTGTAGTGCTAGTTCAGCACCTTGTGACTCCTGACCTTGTTGCACTGAGTAACCCTCAGACTCTTCTCAGTGCAGTGGCATTTCAGAAACAGATAAATCCTGACAATGACATGCCTTTGAATAAGGCTGGTTTTACTTTAGATTGCAGGTGCAAAAAGTTGTTATTTTTTTTCTTTTTAAGACTTCGGTTATTTCAGTTTAAACATAATTACAATTTCAACTAGTACAGTCACAATTATCTTACACTTTTATGAGTTAGTGTCATCTAGATGCTTGATTTTGAATATATACAATTTCATACTAAGTATCACAGGAGAAGAAAAAATATGAGAAATTATTAAGCATATAGTTGGCTGTTTTTAAGCTATAAACTTTAAAATTCATGTGAGGCAATAAAAATATAAATTTGTATGTATAACTTCCAGTAAGAAAGCTAAAGCTGAAAGTTGTTATTGATGCTAATAACATTGAGTATGAGCTAATTAATGAATAGATAACTATAAAATACAGCACATTAAATTTTAAATCTGTTTGTTCCTTGATCGATACAGTTGTAAACCCAGTCGAAATGAAATTTTTCCAAAGTACAGTATATGCAAAAAATTGCAGGAGGTAATAGTAGGGCAAAAAGTTAGTGTCATGTTCAGAGTTTGGTGATATGTTGAAAAAATACATACTTTTCTAAAACAGAATTATTCTAACATTTTCTGCTCATGCAATTGGTTTCAGTAAAACCTTTGAATTAGTTTGAGTTGTTGATAGTTGCTATCCGGCATAAGGATTTTGCATTTAATTGAAGAAATATTTGTATTAATTTCTACCATGGAAAATTTTCAGCTTTTCCAATATAAATGATTGATTAGGTAAGTAGTGGCATTAGTTTTAATAATGCTTAAGAAATAAAATAGTTAAGCTAGTATTTTAGACATTATTTTATTTTGAGTTACTATCTTTGAAAGCAACTGCTCAGCAGTCTTATCTAGCTTTAGGCCTACCCTGTATTTGAAACTTAAAGGATATTAACCTCTATCACAGAAGTTATTTATTCCAGTGGTGATATCTGTTTCTGTTCAATGAAGGTATCCGTGTGTGTGTGTACGCACACGTGTGTGTGAATGTGTGTGTAATATATTGCAGTGAAGAGCCTGTGACGCACCACTACATTTTATTGAAAAACTAGAAGGGAAGCTTTTGTCTGCAGAGAACAGTAACAGTAGCAAGTGCCTTTTTTTTTTCCTTTTATTTTCTGTTAGCCTATTAAGTGTTCTTTAAAAATAAATATATGAATTAAAATGTCTTTAGAAGACATATCTTTTAAGAGTATACTGGAGAGCATTCAATACAATTTAGTATATTAGTATCTTGGCATGGGATTCAGGAGAGATGGATCCATTCTTGCCTCTGCCACAACCTTGAATTGTGACCTTAGGCAAGTCCTTTACCCTCTCTGTGCCTCAGTTTGTGCAATGGGAGTAACACTAAGCTCCCGAGGTTTGTGGTGAGGTTTTCCTTCATTAATGACTAAGGTGGTTTGAAATATCAGAAATTTAACGTTATTGTAATTACTTTTAGATCTGGGAAGCTATGTTTCAAACTATTCTTTTTGCCCCTTAATTTCTTCCTTATTATTTTTCTTGTGGTAGGACTATCACTGCTGTAGATAAGATGCACATCATTGGTAGTGACACTTGGAAGTATGATTCAATAGTGCAGTTATAACAGAACTGTTTTGCAGACTGCAGGTTTTTAGGCTTGAGTTTAACCATTATAAGAAACATTAGATATGGTGTTTTACTGTAATTTATATTTTGTTTTGATTTGTTTTCATTTTCAGTTCAAGCTCAGCAGCTGATGCAAATTCAGAGGAAACAACTAATTTGGAAAAAGGAAAGTCCACATTAAACAAAGTTTTGGAGTCTTTTTGTTCGTATCACTGGCAGCAGACTTTGGCTATGTTAAGATTTTTAATACAAGATGAAAATTTTCCTATAGTTTGCAGTTGCAAGCAAACACATTTGCTCTGCTCTGAAACTCCCAGTTCCATTCCTGAAGAGGATGTTCACATTTCATTTTGCAATTGCAATGGACATATGCTGACAAAAAGGTGCTGTTTACAAAATCAAAGACCAAACACTTGTTTACCACCTCTGTCTGTCTGTATTAAAGATTTCCATTCTTTGTCGTGCCAAGCTGTAGCAATTGGATGTATTAAGACAATGGTGAACAAACCATGTAGTTCTCATAAGTATTGTGCTGAACAGTTGCAAAATTATAACAGGCATCCTGTGAAAGCAGCAGCATGTACATATTCAGCTAAGGATTGCGAGCTCTTGAACAGCATTAAAAATTCAAACAGATCTCGCAGCCCATCACCACCTCCACTATCACCTGTAAATTGTAAAGAATTTGAATCATCAGAAGGCTCAGTTATAGATTTTCCAACTTTAGACAATAACAAGCTTGAAATATTCATCAACCAGCCTCCGTCCCTCTTGCCAGCTGAAGGAAGCAAAGGAGAATTTGAATATGAAGGTAAAACCTGCAGAGGAAAAGAGACTGAATATTCAGATGGAATGATACTATCTACAGACCACGGAAGCAACAATTATTATATAAACTCTGAGAAGGCTGAGAAAGGTGAACACTCAGCCATTTTTCAAGATTTAATGGACCGTATTAATGAAAAGTTAAAATCAATAGACACTACAGATATAGCAACAAATCTTGTAAAACTTTCTAGCAGTGACAGGGCACCAGAAAATGATGTCAAATTAGGAGACTTCATAACCTCTCTTTTGCGTAATGCTAAGGCAAGTGACTACAGCTTTATGGAATTACTTCGTCAACACGATAAACAAATGGAAAATAAAATTATCCAAACAAGATTTCGCAAGCGTCAGGAAACTTTATTTGCAACATATAATTCTCCTGATTCACCATTCATTCGACGACAGTCTTTGCAAATCAAGAGGGAGCTTGCAAGCCTTGATGAAACTCTTCTAAGAAAAAAGTCAATTTCTGAGAGAAATGCAAAAAAATCTACAAAAAATTTTAATAAAATGTATCCAAACAAAAGTCACAGTTTTACAGTGACAGAAGATGAGGCTTCGCAACATCTTGAAAGTAATCCATGCATGAATTACCAAACAAAACCAATGTGCTTTCCAGTACACCAAACAGAGTCTTTCAAAATACCTCTTACTAATTTTCAGACCAGCTCTGGCTTTCTCGTTCTTTCAGAAGACAGTGCTATTGCAGCCAGCCAGCCAAAACTCGCAAAGACACATGGAGATTGTGCAGCTTCTGGAGAGACTGATCAGATTCCTCTAAAAGATGAAAGTAATGGAATCTTGGGCAGAACTAAACGTAACATTGTGCCTCCTGGGTGGTACTCTGTGTATGTAACAAACAATGTTGTGTTTAGAAAGTCACCTGATGCAAAAAAGTCTTTAGAAAGTTCAGAAAAAATAAAAATAAATAAAGATGTTCATGCCGAAGGATGCAGTGACATAAATATAAGCAAAATTATGAGAGACGCAAATCTGCAAGTTGTTGTAGAACGTTTAGAAGATACAATAAACTTAGCCAGAAAGACTAACAACTCTCTGCTGGATGGTTACAAAATCAGCCAAAAATTAAAAGATAATACTTATGAACAGGTTATGAACCCAGCTGCCAGAAGAGGCTTACCTTTCACTCTGAGTGAAACAGGATGCACAGGGCAAAGCTTCCTTCCACATTCACATGTGCCAAGCAGCAGTAAAACCAAAACTGTGTGTGTTACAACAAATAAACAAGAAATGGTTATAGATCAAGAAATTAATGATGACCTTTTGAAATCTTTGACCTTTGATACATCCAGTTCAACTTCCAATAATGGAGACTTGCATACAGCTCCTGAAGCTGGGGAGATCTCATGTCCCTTGAACTACACTAGTCCTATTAAGCTTATGTTTGTCTCAGAGGTTAATAGTAGTGAAGGAGTCAAATACACTTTGACATCTGCAGGTGCATCTTCTAAAGGAAGCACAGATACTTGTTTGTTTCAGGGGCATGCAAACACTTTGTTAGACAAACAGGCCATGGGAGATCTTTCTCATGCAATCTGTGTCAAGGATTGTGATTACAGTGAAAATGATACCAAGGAAGAGTCAAGTTGTGCTGAAGCAGTTAAAAGCTCTTGTCCAGTTGGTCAAACTAACTTAAATGATTTGAAACAAAATGACGATGTTGTGGATAAATCAAGCAGTAGCAGTGAATTGGTTTTAAAAAGAAAACCCGGTAGACCAAAGAAATTAGGTCCTCAAGTTGTTAAACAGGTTAAGAGGCCTATTGGACGGCCTCCAAAACCAAAAATAGATGTGGCTGAAAGCACAGAACGTAGACCTGAACTTAGCAGTGATGGTAGAAGTACCAAATCTGATGCAGCAGTAATGGAAGAAGTTAACAGCAACAAAAATATTATTGTGACAGTTGTTTTTGGAAGGTCAAGAAGAACTAAGAGACATGTTTCTGAAGGTAATCTAAATGTATTCAGCATTCTGCCCACACAATGCATCGATTCTAATTTTGCCAATGACCACAGTAAAGCAAGACGCAATGCAGAAACTGAAAATGCTTTGGCTGAAATAGTAAAGGCCTTACAGAATTCTTCTGCTGAAAGTGAGGTCTCTGGTTATGACTATGTAAGACCTATCAAGAGTAACCTAGCATCACCACATCCTTGCAGCAATATTATACGACCAATTAAGAAACCGTTAACCACCATTCGAAAACCTGGTAGGCCAGCAAAAGTAAAAATCTCTGGCATTTCCGTGACTGTTAATAGAGTTTCACCTCAGGAAAGAAAAGTGAGTATCAGCAACTGTTTGCCTCCTTTACAACTGAATGTGTTAGAAAAAAACATGTCACAGGAGAGAAAAAGTCAGGTGTGCAATAGTATGAGTCAAGTAAAGAGCACGCAGAAAGATTCTAGAGAGGATGGAACAAACAATATTACAACAGCATCAAGAAAACGTGACATTCCATTGAGACATTCTGCTAGAGACAGAAAAGCCTCACTGCATTTTTTACATTCATTAGCATCTTCTAGTGCATTTACCTGTAGAAGTGCCTTACTACATAAATCTTACAGACTCCATTTGAAAAAAGCGCAAGATCGAAAGGAAAAACATAGGCAATCGAATCAGAGCACAGCATCCAAAGATACCTCAGAACTGAGAAATTCAGGAAATGCAAAAAAGGATCTTAAGGATGGTGCATTTGGGCCAATTAATGAAGTATCATCTGATGCCATTTTTAGTTCGAATCCCTCTCTCAGGTGGTGGGCTACTTCCACTTCAAATGACACTTTGTTGGAAGAACTGAATAATAGATTTGAACAGATAACTAATAGCTGGTTGCGAGTGGGGGGAAATGAGTTTGATAAATGTGTATGTGAAAAAAGGGATCCCATTGAACAAGACTGTAATACTGAAATGTCAAACCCTTTAGACTCCTGCCTTGTAGAGTTTGAAACATCACCTATAAAAATGCTTTTTCAGAAAAAGTGTAATATGAATGAACTCTGCACCTGGTTTATGCAAACTACGGAAACACAGTCTCTCTCTCTAGTGAGAAAGGCAAATGCTCGCAATCCTTTAGAAGTTGTTAGTACTAAAGAGATAAAGATGGAAACTAAACAATCTGATCTTAGTACTTGCCCTTTCAGAAAGCACTTTAAAAAGTTTGCACTATCCTCTCCTTCAAAACCAGCAGGGAAATTGCAAATCTTACATAACATAGTAAGGTCTCCAGTCTTAGGTATGAAAAGTAATTTCTCGTTAGCCAGATTTAAAAGAAATGAATTTAAGAAGTTACAGTGTGACAGGTGGGGGCAAACGAAAAAGCTCTATAATCAGGCTCCTGGAGGCTGGAAATCAAAAAAGAAAAATTTACAGTTCTTTTGCCAAAGCCAGTTGTTTAAAAGTACAGGTGAGGAAACCAGTGACGAAATACCCAAGCTCCAGGAAATCAGTACAGTAGAAATCCAGCCCACTCAGACTTTGCTAGAATCTCAGAGTAGCCTCTTGCCAACTGAAAATGATGCCAGAGATGCATTTGTTCAACAGATGATGGGATCTTCTGACTTTAACCCACATCCTGGTTTAGCAAATGTACTTAAGTCACATGCAGAGACAAATGGAACAATTCGTTGCCAACAAAACATTAGAAAAGAGCAAAGCCAAGATAAACTGTTTCAAAATACTTGGAAAGCCAGAACCTTTAAAGATTGTAGAATATTTCTGAGAAAAATCAACCATATTGAGCAGCACAGTTCATTTAATTTAAATGTCATTTGTTCTCCTGAAGCAGTTGAAAGTAAAAGCAATCAGGTCTATATGGAAGAAAAAAGACATCCTCTCTTAAGATCCCATTCTACTAAGCAAAATGCATTAAAGAAACAAGAAAATGAAATGGAAACATCTAAAGGATCTAATTCTTCTAAAGTGACTGAAAGGCTGGATCACAGCAGAAAATTAAGTAGTGCTGTAAACCATGATGATAATCCTGCTGGTAGTTCTGGAGTTCTTATCAGAATAAACAAAAGAAAAAATCCACAATGGGAGACCACTGATACAAATATAAGAAAAAGGCATAAGAGACAATCATGCAGTAGTGGACAAATGGCAGCTTATTACCCAAAGTACCAAGTAGGTAAGTTCCTGTTCCCCCCTTCATCTTAGAATTTCGATCTTAAAGAATTGGAGAAGTCAAACAACTAAGCACTTTGGATATTTTCTTTTTAATTGCATGATATTAATTTAAATTTCAGAGAAGTCATGAAATGAAACATTGTACAGCATCAGAATAATGCAGAAAGTGCAATTTCAAAATGTATATAATGTTTTATGTGAATAGCTGTGTTATGTCCTCTTACGGCTATAACACACCAAGATGAAAGAAAAAGAGCTAACGAATATAGTTCAGACAGACAGCAAGTCAAGTCTGGACATACCTGAAGTCAGCCACAACTGGTTACTGATTTCAAAAGGAACAGAATTCCATTGTGTAGTTTCTCATATTGTGAGAAAGGCTAAATTAAAAGATGAAGCAGAAAATCAGTGTATTAACATGTAGTTGTTCAAAACATTGTCATTGAATGCTAATGTAAATCTGTAATGGTTTTATAATTATATAGAAAAAAATAGTACTCTCTACTTCTGAGAAGTATTCATTCAGAGATCCGTTTTAGTATCCATTCAGTGCCAAATGAAATCTGCTGACTCTAAAGGGTTTGCACATTGAATCCTCACAGAACAATTTAAAATATAAAATTATTCTAGAGAAGTACAATATGCAGTTCCTATACTAAATGCATTGGCTTGGACTCTTTTTAGGCTAGTGTGATATTAAAAGCATTTTTAAAGCTAAATATTTATAATACATTGTAATACAACTGTGATCTTAGAAAGGCTGTTATATTACTTACAAAGAGGGTACACTTGTGAAATTATTTCTTCTGTTGGGTGAAGAGATCTCCTTAAACAGAAGTCTCAACTCATTTCGTTAAAATAACTAAGGTGTGAAATACTCACCAAGTAAAAAGTTCTGCAATAGAAATTAAATCACTGCAGAAGAATTCATTTGTAGAAACAATATTGTATTAGCTAATCTGATTATATTGCCTGAAGAATAAAAAAATACTCAAAATATCAGAGCAAAATCTTATGTCCCCCTTTGTATTTTATGTTGTAGAAAACTGTCCCTGATAATAAACTGAAGAGTTAAGTTGTAATATAAACAATATAACATTGTGGCTCTTGTATACTTTCTTTCTTTTGTGCTTTATGTGAGATATAAAATTCTTCGTATTAAGCTCATTTACTGTAACCCTGCTTTTCTGAAGTACACTGTTCTTTGTCTCGAGGCTTTTACTTTGTGGTTTAATTCACTGATTTGGGGCCAAACTTAACGTAAAAAACTTGTTTTTACGAAGCTCAAACCTTGACACAAGATTGCTGTAAAAAAGCCAGAACTAGAAAAGGGTACCATCTCTCTGTTTCTTTTTTGCAAGTGAAGAAAGAGCTCTCTCATACTTTTATTTTATAATTTTTACTGTAGTTGAGAAAATTTGGCATTTTAATTCTATTTCTCTTTAAACTTTTTCTTGCTATGGCAGTGTAAGACCTATTACTGTCATATGGTCTCATGTTAGTTTTAATTGGGACTCAATTTTATTTGCCTGATAACTTTCCTCTTTTAGTTTTGGATATTTAGGAAATCTGATAACTATTTTGATATTTTGCATTATCTCATTTACAATTTTTGTTATTTTCCCTTTTACTCATAGTTTCTCATATCAATCGTTATCTTTAGAAAGGATATGACAGAAAGTTCATTGATAAAGGAAATGTTAAAAGACCAAGAATTACGATTCTGGAATTTCCTCCACAGTTGTAATCCCAAATCTTTGTTAGAGGTACTGTTGCAGTTATCAGGGGATTGTCTGATCTAGAGAAGGATGTCTTGTTTTGGCATGTTGATTCAAGATTGTGTACTGTCTGTTCTAGCCAAGGAAATAATACAAACATTTTTAGTCTTGAGTATAGCTACTGGCTAAAAAGAAGGAACATGATTTCTCTCTGTGCATGCGTGTCTTTTCAAACATAATTCCTGCATCTGGAAGTTTAACGCACATGAAAACATCATTATTCATTCATCTGTTCTTTGGACTGTATTTTTGTTGATGTGGTATCATAAATTCTATCATTGTTCTGTTGTCATGCTTGAAATGTTCACATTTATGGTCAATATTTAAAGTTTTTCTTCAAGTTTTACTGATCTTGGTGTCTTACCGAATATTCTTGAGAGGTGTTGTGATGCTGTTTTATTGTGAAGCATTGTGGCAGGTAGGCAGAACATCGTTACTGAATTTTCACGTATACTCAATTTTTGTTGGAATGTGCAAGCGGGAATAAAGCAATTGAGTTCTTGCAGCTCAAGGTAGTATCAAGCAACTAGAACCAGCCATGTGCTCATTGTAGCAACAGAAGAGAGTTAATCACTTTTTCATATTGCCTGGTTTATGTAAGATAAGGTGGATGGTAGATACACTGGTCCATATGCTGTTTGTTACCACTTGATGTCTGAACTTTTGCTTCAACCGTGCATTTGATGTGTTGAGGGGAAGGTCGCTTTTACTGTAAGTCTATGTCCTGACCATTTAAATTTCTTTAGCGACACTGAAACTTTTATTGTCTGTGGTGGCAAAGAAAATTACATGAGCATGTTTCTAGGAAAGCATTTATGTTTCTTTTCATTAGAGTGGTTCAGTGTGTTTCCTTATGACACTGAAGACCACTTTCACATACTTTGGACTTGGCCAAACTAGATCGAAAAAGGCTTCAAGCTAAAAAAAAGGAAACTATTACCCAGTAATAAAATGGGACACAATGAAAGACTTCATTTTAGGAACTTACAGTGTACTGAATATTTTAAAAATCTGCTTCAAAGGCTGTGGATTTATCACAGATGCAAAGGAGGCTGTGGGCCTACTACAGCAGCAGGCAGTACTGCATGCTGCGATGACATAACATACCTGTTCGCTTACCTTCATAGCAGGCTGGGAGTTCACATACAAAAGCTTTTAAAAATCAGTTCTGATCACTTGAAGCTAGGGTATTTTCTTCATCTAAAATTAACTTTTTCAGTTTCTCCCTTAAAATTTTGCTTTTCTTCACGAAGTGTGGATTTCTGTAGAAAAACTTTGTTGGCAGAGAATATAAATTTTCAATTTTAATTTTTCATTATATTTGAATGTTGTTTTAAAATGCTATCTTAATGAAATCAAGTGAGTGCAGTATTTAAAATGAGAATTTGCTAATCTTTGTAATAATTTCAAAGCTGACTACAAGACTTAGGAATCTAACTATGAAAACTTGGTATTTTTATGAGTCTAAAGGCTACACAATATGAATCTCTTACCTACTGCTGTGAAAGACATTAGTCTCACACCAATGATCTAGTGACAAAAAAGGTTGTTTTTAGCAAGTCTTTTCCTCTTTCTCTTTCATGAAGGAGTACATTCTGTGCTCCTAATGTGGAACAAATCTAAAATAGTGGGTTAGGTAAAATGTAAAAGAGACATAGTGGAACAGTCATTGTATCTGTTGATTTTGAGAAATCCTTTTCAACAGCCATGTCTGAGCTCTTTTCACAAAGACTCTTCATCATAAGGTTACTTGGCTTCAGAATAAGTTTCACCTGTGCTGCAGAGCAAGCAGATAGATAGAAATTTTCATAACTGTAATTGTCAGAAAAGAAGTTACTTTTTCACAGACAGCCATAAAACAAAGCAAGAAAATTAATAGGAAACATAGAAACAATATTGAAATTACTATTCTCAGTAAGCGGGCTATTTTTAATGCACTACAAAAACAGAAGGGTAGACTTGATATCTAGTTGACTATATATGTGTAATAAATCCTGACTTGTTAAATGAACTTTATGGTTTCTGCCTCATTCCAGGTGATGGAGGATAGAACAAGGGGAAACGGCACCAAGCTGTGCCAAGGGAGGTTCAGGTTAGAGATAAGGAGGTTGTCAGAAGCTGGAACAGGCTGCCTAGGGAGGTGGTGGAGTCACCATCCCTGGATGTATTTAAAGAGCGGGTAGATGAGGTACTTAAGGATATGGTTTAGGGGGTAGACAGGAGCGATTGGACATGATGATCTCAGAGGTCTTTTCCAACCGAGCGATTCTGTGATTCTGTGATTCCCTTTAATGGACCAGCAGCAGCTCTAACCCCACAGTCTAATCTTCATCTTGTTTTACACTCTGGAATTCCACCTGCCAAATGCAGTTATATGGGCTGTCCTTCCCTTGTCTTCCTCTCCCATCATGTGATCTAGTGTGAGGTGTATAAATTTTGGGTGCTGTTTTGTTTTAAACTGTGGTCATTTACGTATTTCCTTGGGGTATGCTGTTCCTCGTGTTCTTTTGAGGGTTCTGAGCTAAAGATTTTTACTTTTGCTTATTTGAACAGTAGACTTCTTTCAAAGAACCCAACTCTGAAGTCTTTCATTTCCTTGACCTGCAAGAAAATTTCTGTAGTTTAGTGTCATGGTCATTAAGCCTTCATGTAGGATTTATATACCCAGTTTTACATATGTGTGGTGTAGGGGGGGAGGGTGTTAATAATTTTATTCAGTATTGCTTTGTTACCTAATTTTATTTCCTCAAAAACTGAGAAACTCGTATCATGCTTTCCTAGTTGTTCTCAGTCCTGAGGAAATGGTTAATTTTTCCAGCTTTCTTTGGGGAACTGATAATACTATACAAACATAGGCAGGCTTCTATCTTTCTGCTTAAGCCTTTCTCTAGAAAAGAAAATGTTGGTTTTCCCAGGCCTGCCAAGTGATTTTTGAAAATATGACAAGGACATAGCCCTTTTAAAAAGCTCTCTTATGTTAAGAGTTTACTGCCTTAAAGTGGAGCTTTGGTTGGTGTTAGATAGAAGAGGATAGAGGTCAATCAACACAGCCTGTGGTGATGTAACTTGTAAGTAAAGTATTTATGTAGTCTGTCCGTCACCAGGCAGGTTAATTATACTGAGACAGTGCCACACAGTTTGGTGTTGAGCTCTGGGAAAGTATTCCTGTGCAAGAAAGGCGCTTTAATTCATAGAGGCATACGTGTACTGTGCATTGGTTTGCATTCCTCTATTGTTTATATGCTAAAGCTAGTGGTGCTTTTCTGGTTTGGTTTTTCCCACCAAATTTTTGTAAAGTGTCTCATACTAGAATCTTCAGTTAGTTACATTCCAAAAGTGCAGATTCTGGTTCCAGAATCAAGGGGAAGATTTAAAATGGTGGTTTTTGCATGTGTTCTTGAGTAGATTTTCCTTCTCCAGTTCCTCTTTCACTGAGTCAAAAGATAGAGTGGAAACATTTGTTGGCAAGGCTTTACAGAGTGGTGCTAAATCTTATGAACTTATCCAAAATCTTGTCTCAAATGTAGGTGAACATTTGCTAGCTCTTAAAAATTTCATTTTTTAAGTTCTTTCTTCCTTGTATTCATTTGGCAACTGGATATTAATTTAATACAAATAAGATTTCTGCTATATTTTAAGGACAGCATGTTCTTATCATAAGGCTTTTTTCCTCTGGTGTTTCCTGTGGTCAACATGGAAAACAAAGACTCTCTGCCCTTTTCAATGGCATTGAATCTTGAGTGTTCCGCAGCATACTGAGTGTTTCTGAAAGCTGACAACAGCCTTCAGGTTCTAATTAAGCCAGATATGTTTACAATGATCAACAACTGTTGAGATAGATGTATCTGAATGGAAATTGGCTTATATGGGAAGCCTGAGATTTTAAGAGCCGCGTTGTGCATTCACATTTCCACACCACTACAACATCATCGCTTGATGGTCTTGCCTGTAGTGGTAATTGATGTAGCGTCATGCCTTGTGGTCTCAATGTAGTATAAAACATGGTGGTGTTTTGGGTGTGTAATGAAGCAAAGAAAGTTTGTGGAGTCCTCATTAGCAAAGTTTACTTCCTAGTTATATAAAAGATATTGTGAGATATTTTAAGATAAATCAGAAGAAAATGTTTGGAAACCCAAGTTATGTTATTTTAACAAATATGAGTATATAGAAATAAATTACTTACAGACCTGTACCTACATATGTTTGTATACGGATATGTGCTACCTGTGCACTGAGAACATTTCTAATTGTACCATTTTAAAAGAAAATAACTTATCTGAAATACTGCAAATAGAACCTAGATTGAGGTCCCAATTTAGAAGTTAATTGGAATTTTTTACTTACTTTGTTGTTCACAGTCTTTTTAGAATTCCTTATGAAAATCCAGAAAAGAAACTAGAAATTATTTCCTGCTCATCAAGTCAAATATTGAAGTTATTGTAACTGAGCAATAATTAAAAAGTACTCCACACATTTTTATCAGGTTCCTAAACAGGTTATGACTCAAAATCAAGGTTGCAGTGTACCTTGATTAAATAATGCTGGGTTTGAGACACAACTTTCTCCGTCTTCTCCTTTCAATGCGTAAAGTATCATCTTGAATTACTTCAGTTTTCATATCTCCCGCAGCCGTTATTTCTTTTTCATCTTTGTTGGATTGCCAGCTTTCAGCTGACTGCCTTCTCATCTAAATGCTAACTTTTTTTTTCCACAATGTGTGATTTTTGTCAACAGTTCTTACATTGCTCACTTTAATAAGTCGGACTACCTGTGTTTTACCTGCAGCTTTCTACCTTTTTTCCTCTCTCACAGAAGCTTAGAAAGCGTGCACACTTTTTCCGTGAGGCTGATGAGCCTGGACAGGGTGTTTAACCACTTCTCATAGCGGCTTCGCTCCCATAATGAAAACTAAGCCATTGTCATTGGCCATCTCTTCCAGCGTTAGCTATCCCACTGCTTTTCATATGTCATGATACTTGTATTTCTACAGCAATATAGCGTTGACTTGTGTTTCAGTTGGGATCCATTATAGCTGCCTATGCCTTTGTTAAAGAACTGCCTAACCTGTGCTGGTACTTTGCCATGGTCTCTGCCGAACTGTTCATTGCTTTTATTCATTTATTTTATCTAGACCTATGTCTGAACCATAGTTCAGTGGTCTGAACTGTTCAGCCCATTCAGGCCATTACACTCTGGTTGTTCCACATTCATCTGCATCCTCTCTTCTTGCTTTGCTCTCATTCAGTACCAAATTTTAACTGATTCTCAGATCATGCATCATCTTTGTTTTTTTCCAGACTGTATGTTTGTGAGTGCCACAGCATCCTCTTAGGAGCACTGCAGAATGAGTGCAGCCCAATTGCACTCTCTGGGGTTTTTTTTACTGCATATTTGCCATTGTGTACTTCTGCTGGTCCATACCATCTCTTACACCTGATAAGAGACTTATAATGTCATATAAGCAAGATGTCGGTCAGCCTTTGTCATAGATTTCTTCAAACCCGTGTGTGAAAAACCTTTCCGAAATAGCCATGCCTGCTTTTTAATCCGCTTTTTCTTATTGACGATCAGGTAACTTCTATTTTTTTTTTCCTACAGTGTAAAGATACATGTCTTTTCCAAAATCAGAATGTTTGGGCAGATTTTGTCTTCATAGCTTTATGCTCTTGGGCCAACACTGGACATTATCATTCTAGAAATTACTAGAAGTTACTGTTACTGCTCCCATTCGCATGGCAAATTGCACATTCTGCTCTTGTGGAACAGGTCACAGTTTATATTTCTCTTTCCATTTTTTCATATCTGAAGGAAAGGGACCTTTTTCTGTTGCTGATTTCTCTTGTTCTAATCTGCTTGCATTATTCTTCAGAGTTCTGTGGAGTACAAATAACAATACCTCTTGCTCTATTAAGAGGATGTAAATCCTTAGTGAGAAACTTCATGCGTTATGGAGGCCTGGGCTTTTTTTCCCTTGTTCTTTTGTTTGGTTGTGCCAGTATGACTGATTTCACTGTCTGACTTGTTCTTACAACAGCAGAAACTCGCCTGACTTGTGTCTGCATTCAGCTTTATCAGTTTCTTACTGCAAATTAGATGTAGACAGGAGTTTCACAAACTTTTCTTTCAGTGGCTATGCCAGCTCACCCATTCTCCATCCTCTGCTACTGCCACGTGCTCCCATCTGTCTCCACTTCCAGGCACACAGAAAAGGAATCTGTGCTTCTCTCTTATCGTGGTGAAGCTGTGAGTGGGGCAGGCAGCTTAACTTGGCCATTGTTCTTTCTTCCGTGATGATCGGCTTTTCTTACTGTGTGCCTACCGTATTTCACATTAGCTTAGGACTTAAAAAACCTTTCAAAAGCAGAAGTCTCTGCATTTCGACTTGGTTTTGAATGTTTTGTATCAGTTGTCAAGCCACTAGAGTAATGTGACTACATTCATGTTTTTCCATGGCAGGTCTGATGTAGGTATTTTATTCTTTGTTTTCACTTTGCAGCTCAGGGTAGAATATTTCTAAATTGCAGTCCTGCTAGGAATTAGAATAAGACAGCTTTCAATTTCATATTGAAATAGATGCGTACATAAAAATGAAGATGCTTAGGGAAGTCAGTTTTTCAGGTGGATCTTGTCACAGATTCCTGTCATCTAAGGTGCAGACTTCATAAATATGCAGAGATTATACTTGATATTTTACGGACACAGGCTTACCCTCAAGGCTACTGAAATGTTGATTATTTGCTTTAAATAATGGATTATTTTCCTGTAATGAGAAAGAAGCCTAGCTGAAAAGTTCTTGTCTAGAAGCTGCAAGAATGCCATAGGATTTTTTTCCTAATCCAAAAAAAAAAAAAAGTAATTCTTATTTTCACTGAGATGGTGCTTTTTTATCTGTGTGTGGGTGCGTGGGTGTCATATTTTCCATTTGGAACAGAGGCAAATTTTTTTTAAGAAAAAAAAGATACTTTAAGTTAGGTTTTAGTGTTTTTGTTGGCGCATTTAGCATAAATTTCAAAACATACAGTAACAATATATTTTTTTAAATTTACTAAG